TTGAAAAAATTGAAATATGGTAACATTTAGGACTTTCTGACCATGTTATAAATATTTTCATAAAAATGTTTTTTTTTTTGAGTTTTGGTGAAGATTAATCTCAAAAAATACGAGATATATATTCATGCTAGGAAAATATTCACATTTTATTATCCTGCGAAAAATTAAATTTTTTTGAGGCCAGAAAAAATGTTTTTGTTTCCTATCTAATAAGACGCTTTAAGAAATTATGCTCCCATCTAAGTAAAATTATAATAAATATTAGAGTAGTTTCTTGTATTGGTATAATCTAGATCTAGACCCATACTTATTAGAATAATAGACTACTTCGATTATTACCTTGTATTGATCCTTATTTGTCTAATACATTAAAAATGATTTGAATAGAAGCAGAGATGGATGCTCCAATTAATTGATTAATTTTATCTACCATTTTCAACATTTTTCTTGTTATCTTCAATTGCATATTAGAAAATAAATATGTTGAAGAAAAAATTTAATCATTATATTGATATAATGTTTGTTTAAAAAACCGAATGGTCTAACAATTTGTCTAAAGGCACACCATTATTCATTATCAATTGTATGTTAATTATGGTGTTTTTGGCAAAATAAAAACATTATGTAATCTGCTTCAATTTTTTTTGTTATTTTTTGAACAACAATCAGAATCAAACAGTTCTATAAGCTGTTGAGCTAATTTTGACTTAATATTAGTCTGTTTGACAGATGGCAATCCAATCAGTTGGCACATCTCTATATGATATATTATTTTCATAATTTCTGTAATATGACGAGTATTTTTATTAGTGCAGCAATGTCGGGTGAGGTTCCGGTTTTCACTTGGAAACATATTGCTATCTACATTTACCAAGTGAAAATCATTGTCACTGCTGCCTGACAACAGGCTGCTCGAAGTGGGTATCGAACCCGGGAACTCTGAATCAAGTCCCGTCGCTGATTATAATTATTATCAATATAATAAAACTAACCGTATATAATGATGCCAGATGCATTCGTTTACTGTTAATTTATAATTATGTTGAATGAGTTAGCTTCTTATGAAACAAGTGATAAGCGTTATGTAATATCAATATTACAACTCGCACAATACTTACGAACTTATACATCTACATAGTTACTTCTGTATATTATTCTGTGTTTTTGCTGTAATAGATTTCTATTGACTTCACGCATTACCAATTTTCTTAATACAATCCTGTATATATTTATATACACATATAACATGTTTGTATATAAATACAATAATAAGAAACCAACGTTGCGTATAAATTCACTGGTCACATCCTTGGATAGATTTATCCACTTGCAATTATCGCTGTACGTGCAATCGAGATTCTTATATTGCCTATTGCGACTTAATTATAAGTTATGAGTTTTATTTAGTTCTTTTATTCTGTGGTTACAATATAATATACGAATTCATGACAACTTTTATTAATACTGATACAGATGAATGCCTTAAGACATAAAGTATCTGCTGGAACTTCCCGTACCAAAAACTAACTTATATATATAAAAAAAAACTTTAAGACTGAAAATTTTAAATTTTTGCAAAAAATGACTTTTTTGAAAAATCAGATTTTTGTTTGTATTTTTATTTTTTTTTCAAAATTTTGATCATTTTTTTAAGCAAACATGCTGCTGTTTTGGAGCTGAAATATCAAAGCGCGAAAGCGCCGCGTATTTGTTTAACGTATGAACATTGGTACGGAACTCATATAAATGTGCACAAAATTTGTACTTATTATTATAGTCTTTATAAAATATCTAGTAATACGATGTACATATGTCTAATGATCATTTTTGACCGCCGAATGGTATTATTTTTTACTTTTTTCATTGGATCTCCGGAGACGCTTTACAAAAATTTTACTAGTTTATTTCTTATACAATACAAGTAAAATGTTTTTTGAATTATATCAGACATTTTTTGAAAAAATTCTGATGAGATGCTACCAAACTCTGTTAAAGTAGTACACTTTTCGCGGATAATGCATCGAAGATCCAGATATAATTATTGGTTATATTATAGTTTAAATGTTGTTTATTAGGATAAAATGATGCGATATTAAAAAATTATAGATGATTGATATGTTACTTATTAAAATCATATTACTTGTTTGAATGTTGAGTTAATACTGATATAACTTATTATTATATGAATGTATGAATATTACTTGATGTTACTTAGATGAGTATTAAGATATTAATAATTTTATTTGTTTCTAATTTGTTCATTTCTGGGTGCAAGTGACTGCCCATTACATTCCTACCCGATCAGATATTGACTTTTAATTTAGTTGGGTCGAGTTCAAGGAATCTGAATTTCTTTGAAAGACCGGTTAATGATTGAGGATGCGCTATTTATGGACAAGATGTATGACAATATGAGTGATAATTTTATATTTTGAAGTATGAAGTGTAATTTATTATTGCTATCATGTATGAAAGTATTTAAATATATCTAAATAATTTCACTATACTAAGGTTGAGTCTTAGGCGTGGACAATATTTTTTTAAGCTACGTTCGAATACTATTTAGGGGTTCACCTAATATATAAATTTAATAGTCTTATTTGGACACTTTTTGAAGCTCTGATATATCAGTTTTCAAAACAAAATGTCAGAAAATTTAAAATACTTTTCGTAAAAGTTCGCTTTTCACGGATGTATTTATAGAACTGAAATAGACAATGATCGTTAGCGATAATCCATCCATTGTCAACAAAGTTTTGCAGCTTGTGTTGATTTTGGGAAGTATTTATAAATGTTTTGACACTGAATCATTGAATCATTGGATATTATTTAAGACAAACTTTTCTCTCTTTTCATGAATGAAACATTGGCAATATGAAATTAGAAGTAAAAAGTAACACCTACCTTTTTCTCTTTTATTCAGCATCTAATATGTTGCTTTTTACCGTAGAGTAAAAAAACTTTTAACTGTAGAGTTATTTATTCGAAAAAGTTTCTATCCATAATCTTAGTATTGGGTAATTAAAAACTGTATAAACCATTGTTGTTAGTAATGTTTAAAGGCAAATATGAGGTTTGAGAAGTGATATTTGAAATGCGCATGAAACATTTTCCTATATATTTATTCATTCTTTCTGTATTTTTAATGAATACCCTCAACCTATGCGAACGGAAATTCTTAATAATTCCAATATAAAATTTCCTAGAAATGCTTGTTCTCTATAAATCATCTCTCAGCAAATATTATTTCTACTCGTTAGCTCTGGAAACTGAATATATTTATATTCAGAATTTATATTGCATATCATATGATATTTTCCAGAAGCATTTATGTTACCTAGAGAAAATATAGTCTTTAAGTTTTATTTTACAAGTTTTAAAATTACAATTTATTTGTTTTTAATTGCATGATAGGTGTAGAGCTAATTGAAACAGTTTTCTTAATTAAATGTAATTAAGCTATATGTATTGAATAATATTATTTTGTATTAACTTCACTTTTTATATTAAAATAGTAACCCACGCATTTTTGTTAATTCTGCTGGTTGTGTTTATTCGCTTGCAATTCAAGTCATAAATTTATTATTAAATTTTTATTAAGGAATGAATGTAATTTACATTACATTCACTTCAAATCAAAATTTCGGAACAGAGAGTGAAAACGTTTTAATGATGTAAATTTGTTAGAATTTAAACTTAAATTTAAATTGAAATTGTTTATGCTACTAATTCTAGAATATATTTATTTAACACTATACTTTAATAGTTCCAACTATTTATCAAATTGTATTAACAGAACCGTTTTTTGATTGATATTCTAATAATATTTTTCTATGTATATTGAGACGATATGTATTCAATCATCGGCATTAATAATGTATTGATGTATTGATTTTGTTTGATCAAAAACTATTCACATTTTTGAATATATTAAGAATAATCATATAATGTCCCTAATATTATAGCATTTGTCATTACAATTCTGTAAAAGGCTCTGATGATCTTCATATGATCATTCCCAAGCCTTTTTATGGACCAGACCAGATCAAATTCATTATGAACATTGACAAAAATCAACATGCAATTAAATTTTAAATTTTAATAAACATAAACAAAATCAAACGTCAAATGTGGAATTATTTTTTTATTTCTTTTTATAAAATTCCAACATTAAATTGAAAATTGTAAAGTTTTGTATGAAGGAATATTTGAAGATCTATATGTATATTATAAAAATTATAAAAATTCTCATTTATTGGTACGCAATCTAAAATTTACTAAAAAAAATATGCACAGCTGTAAAAACTCTACAAAAATATGATAATACATAAATTAATAAGGCAGACACAAATAAAATTTGGTTGTAAAAATTTTGTCAAAACTTTTTGTAAAATTCCAAAATTAAACTGAAAACTGTAAAATTTGTATAGAGAATATAAATAGAACTTATAAAAATTTTCATTTATTGGTACGCAATCTAAAATTTACGAGATAAAATATGCACAATAGTGAAATATTTTCAGAAATATGATGATGCATAAATTAATAAGGAAGACACAAAAAAAATTATGGTTGCTTTTTTACCCACAAATTGAAACCAAATACATATCTTGAATGTTTTTGAGAAATTGAAGCATATTTTTAATAATAAATATTAACAATTATTCCTTTATACGTTTCTGCACTGGATACGTGTAATTATCAAACTAAAATTTCTACAAAACATTCACTGTAACAACAAAATAATTTATAAGTTGATTTAAAATATTGTAGGTGCACATTATTACCTAAGTAATTATTACCTATTTTTACAAATTTTAACTATAATTATTAATGTTAATATTTTATTAATTATTGTAACTCTTTTTTTAATATGCCTTCAATAATTGTTTTTAGAATCTTTGTAAAATTTCCTTGTTTTCTTCCCATTCAAACAATAAATCCGAGTTACTTCAATGTCAGCAACTATAAATCTATTTCTAAATTTGTTTTCAGATGACTTCTAGTGCTGGTGGCAGACTGCGATAGTGGTTGTTGAAACCACTCAGGAACTGAGTGCAAGTAACAACTTACTCCTGGCAGAACCATTTATGTCAACATGTTAATAAAAGAATACAGAATTCCTCTGCCGCTTACGGTGGAGGAATACCGAATTGCTCAACTGTACATGATAGCCGTAAGTATTTGGAAGATAGTTTTTTTTTAATATGATCTATTGTATATTACTAAAATATTCAGCTACGTTAAATCACTATCTAGTTTTTTTTCTTTATTTACATAATATTCTCAATCAGTCAGACAGGGATGCAAGGGACAATCTCATTATCAGTCAGACCAGGGATGCCTGGTATTAGAGCTTATAAAACAATTTTTATATATACAAATACATATATATCTATTTCATTCTCTATCATCTTCAATTTCTTTATATTTTTTTTTTCGAAATTATATTGTCTTCATCTTGATATAAATCGGAAGTTTATTATAAATTTTACTTGAGCTCTATATGACATTTCCTCTTATTTTCATTTTTCTATTGTATTCTGTGTGAAAATTTTAATGTTAAAGTAAGGTGACTATACGTCCCAGATTGGCCGGGACAGTCCCGGATTTCCACCTTGTGTCCCGGGTTATTTTAAAAGAATGATTTGTACCGGATTTAGATCTTTTGTCCAGGATTGACCCGGTTTTTCAAAAATTAATAGATGAATTAACAAAAATTATGAAAACAAACGAACAAGTGCTATTTTTTTTCAAAATATTTATGAATAAAATTGAATAGAACGTTATACAAGGCTCAAAAGCGCGAAAAGCACATAGATTCATATAAGATATAATATCTTACAATTAGATAAAAAAGTATGACGTATATTCTAATAATAAAGTTCTTACTAAAAGTCATGTTATTATATACCCCCCGTCCCGGATTAGCATAACTAAAAATTGCAGTCCCGGTTTTGATTTAGAAAAATATGGTCACCTTAGTTAACTACGATTGTCGAATATTCTCGTCATGGGAAAGTGGTAGAATTTTGTGTACTGACGAGTATACTTGTCAATCTTGCCATACCTTTAAATTAGTGACTATTGGCCTAATCTTGCCATACGTACAAATTAGTGACTATTGGACAATTAAACTGTGATTTTTCAGAAAAACAAAACATTTTCTCATTTTTATGTTGTCTATAATGTTTTGAGCCTATACTGGTATAGAATGACTTCCAGTAGGTATTTTACATTCAAACGATATTTTACCTTGATTCTGATGATACAAAACTGAACGCAAAACAGTTCAACGAAAGATTTAATTTGGTAAATTTGATTCTTAATGTTTTACGTAATAATGTCCCAAATCATTATATCATATATAATTTAATTTAATTAGAATGTCATTTGACTGTCTATTACGTAAAAATAAAAACCTTTTAATGAAAAAATCATCTTTTCATGAAAATAATGTTCGATTAATTCGAAGGTTTAAAATTTCAACCAATAATTAGTCGAATACTTTACTTGATTTTTTTTATTTTATTTATTGAATTGTTTTATTTTATGGTGACACTATTAGAAACAAGTACAAATACAAATTGTTGACTTCCATTCATAAAAATCTCAAATTTCATGCAATTATTTATAACGAACTTTAATACAAATTTGTAATTATTGGTATTTCCGAATAATAATATATTAAATTCATTTTTAATCCTTTATATTATGACATGTTACTAATAATTCGCTTCGTAAATAGAATTCTATTATCTTCATACATATCTTAAACATTTCTTCCAGCTATTACAAATACATAAAAGTTGTTCTTTTATCATGTTTGAACAACATTGTTTTAAAATAAATATTAATATCAATGAAAGTATATATATTTGATAAGTTATGAATAAAAAATGTATCAAAGTAGCAAAAATATTTGATTTATTTTGTGGATATTTTTATTGTGTAATGATCTTTCTAAATATTTCTTATTGTATGTCACTAAATTTTTAAAATGTTCTACAAAAATACTTTGATCATGTATCTTGCTAAATATCAGTATTCAGATTCATTCATAAAGTATTATTACTAGAAGTGCCAGAGTGTAGATAGGTAATTACTTGACCAAGTGCTAGTTATAAAATAATAGAATAGTTATCCCGATTTCAATCATTTGATTTTTTAAAAAATGGGTAGTGTAGAGCAATTTTCAATTATATTAATAAAGTTCAATCTTCACGGATTAATCCTTGATTTGATTTTCTTTTACTGAATAATTGCCTTTCATTAATATTTTGCACATGAATTTATTATTGATTTGAACGATTTTTTACCTATCCTTCAATTTCGGCATTGGAATTTCTCTTCTGCCCACGTTTAGTTTGCAAACTTATTCTTGCTTAGAAAAGTGTCGCCAAGTACGAATATTATAAGAATTTTTTAAAAGTGATATATTTTACACACTCCTACGCAAGGAAACTTAGAAAAGAAGAAGCTTGAGATAATATATATATATATATATATATATATATATCTTATCTTCTTATATATAAAAATGGATCGCAAAATGTGCTGGTAAGCGCATAACTCAACAACGCCTGGACCAATTTGGCCAATTCTTTTTTTAAAATGTTTGTTGAAGTCCAAGGATGGTTGTTACGGCGAAAAAAAACGAATAATTGCCGGGAAAACCCTAAAAACAGCCCTTTTTTTCTTTAAGTAGGCAACGCAATTTGTAAAAAAAAAAACAATGATCTATGTCATGACATTTTGTGTAGTTTTTGATAATCTAATTTTGAATATATTTATATAAACATAGAAATATCTTTCTATTTATCAAGCTATATTGGCAGCCAAAAACATTGATGTAAATTAATTAAATTTCAAAATTCAAGAACAAATTACAGGCGAATCAGTTGATTCGGCAACTAACCAAGACGGTCCACCGGAGTTTTTAAACTCGCTGGATTTGCTAGGATTGTCACCTCACAATCTTCAATTAAAGGTTCGATCGGCAATTATAATTTTGCGAAATATCGACCAACTATATTCAAAGGATAGTATAAAGCAGATGATGTTCTCGCACCATGCATCCCAATGCGTTACCAGTGCGTTTATGGTATCATTAAGTGTTTGTGGTATTAATTTAGAAAACCCATGTTTCTCACATGGAAAATTATATGTTGTTTGTTCCCGTATTGAAAAACCATCAGATTGGTTTGTCTATGCGCCGGGTAATCAAACAAAAAACATCGTTTATCACAAAGCACTACAATGAAAATTGAACTGATTTTTGAATTATGATTTACATTATTAAAATTACTTACTTTTAAATGCTTATAGTGTTTTATTTAATTATTTTTAATTCACACCGAATTATTACCAGGGTGACGGTTCTGTTCAGGATAATTTTTTGCAAAGAATAGAAAAAAGGTAGGCACAAAACACCGCCACATTACAATTTTTTTTGACAGGACGAAGTCTGTCGGGCCGGCTAGTATATATATACATATATATATTTATATATATGTATATGTGTGTATGTGTGTGTGTGTTTGTCGAAGTATTTTCTGGTAAGTTTTGTAATAAATTACAAACAATAGGCAAACGTTTTCTATTGTTAGCGAATAAGTATATTATCTTGCCGTTGCTTTATTAACTTACTGGTGAAAATATGATTCTTTGGGACTATAAATCGATTCGCGAAATCAAAATTCGAACAACTATTTTATTATTATTAGAGAATATTAGTTTTAAATATTCAAAATTTATGCTATTAAGATATTATTATAGAAATGAGATTTAGAATATTGAAATTAGTACTTTCGGGAGTTTTTAATATTTTACATTAGCATAAAATGCATTTTTGTTATAGTAACCTATCACACTTGTTAAAGACTTGTGAAATATTAATAGCTGCATAATTATATACTACTAAATTTGTTGATAAGTCTGGGTATAGTAAACAACATATAATATTTTCAACACTTGCTTATTATCAAACTTAAATTATCTAATGTTTTGATTAGCCTAAAAACTGATTCAACTACACATCTATAGGGCAGTCTGTATAGCCAAAAAAATTGTTTTACCAATATATACTAGGCTTGTGCATCATAGTTTTTTAAATTAATTGTACTAACTAGTGATGCCTGGCATCGTTCCTTGCATGGTTCAATGCTTGCTGAACAGCCTATTTCTGAAAATTTGTTCACACATATACACAAACAAATGTATATGTATATATATATATATATATATATATATATATTGGCTTTTACATTTCTCTCGTACAACATTATTGGTTTTCTTATCTTCAGAAAAAATCCCGGGAGGAAAGTAGCGGCGCAGGCAGTGGCGTAGAAATTCTGATAAACGAACCGTACGAAGAAGGTCCCGGGGGAAAAGGACAGTACACGAGAAAGGTTTATCATGTCGGCAGTCATCTTCCAGGTGAAAATGTTTCTAGTTTAATTTAATAGATTGTGGAAACAGATTCAAAAATATAAAAGATTAAATGTAAACATTCGGCATTCAGTTGTAATTCTGATATTTGGTATTTTATTTTATTTTTTTATGGTTTTTGAAATTGTACTGTAGGTATAATAAAATACAATCTATTTGCATACTCATGCAAATGAATGCGAGAATTTACATATCTGCAAATGTTCAATGCAATTCGATATAAAATACAGGGTGTTCCAGAACATAACGTCATTCCAAAACGAAGTATTTGTGTTGACGTTTACTGTCCTTGAAAAAAATAGAAAAAAGAATATATCACGTTGTTTAGAAATATTGAGCTTTTAAGTGCAACCTACAGCTTTGGTGAAACTATGCCGATTTTTCGTCTATTGTGGTTAATTTTTAATATTTACCATATACATTGTATATTATATACATTAGTAAATTTTTAATGAATTTTTTATGTGTTTTAGTACGTTATGTTTGTCAACACGCTTTAGTGCTTTTTTCAAAGGATGTCCTTGCAAAGTCGACAAATTATGAAAATTTTAAATTTATACGTCAACGAATAAACTTAATTCTAGAAAACTTGGTGCAATTGTGTATTCAATTTTGACTGTGTTGGGAGAAATGTTATTTATGGTTACAGTTTCAAAGTTATATGAATAAAAATAATGAAAATTAACCATAATAACCAAAGTATGGTTACAGTTTAATCAAAGCTCTAGGTTTTACTTAAAAGCTCATAATTTTTAAACTTCATGAAAATTTGTTTTTCTAATTTTTTCATGATTTGCTACTAATCAATACTGTCATCCCTTTTAGTTTTGTCTTTGATTTCTGGTGCGCTCTATATATAATGATAAATAACACTAATTTCAAAAGAAAGAAATGAAATTATTGCATGCATCAGCATCAGCATCAGCATCAGTATTTTATTTGCATACCAGAAAAGTATACATGAAATGTTAATAAAGCTAAGATTTTTACTTGACTATATGTTGAATCAATTTATTTAATCTCTCATTTAACGTTCAATATTATTTATTATTTAGGTTGGTTCAAAGGTCTCTTACCCAAATCAGCTCTCACTGTAGAAGAAGAGGCATGGAATGCATACCCTTATACAAAAACGCGATACACATGTCCTTTTGTAGAAAAATTTTCATTGGAAATCGAAACTTACTATTATGCCGATGATGGGCATCAGGATAATGTTTTTAATCTTGCAGGAAGCGACTATAGGAATAGAATTGTTGGTAAGTAAACGATAATTGGTTTAATATGTTGTACTATTCATTAATAAAAAGTTGCAACATCTATTGAACCTTTTAATTTATATCTCTCTTTATAGGTATCTTAAATTTCACTCATTTATTATTATTTTGTTAATATTCCAGATGTAATAGATGTAGTTAAGGATCAACTTTATGGAGCTGATTACGTAAGAGAAGAAGATCCAAAATTTTATATATCAGAGAAAACAAATAGAGGTCCATTGAATGACAGCTGGTTGGAATATTATTGGAACAATGTAAATATTAATATAAATTATCACTAAAGTATTGAAAACTAAGTCGAATAATATATTCAACTCTTAAGTAATTTAATCCGATTTAATTAATTAATTTTTAATTAATGAAATATTTCAGGTCAAAGATAAACCGCAGCCCACGCCCGATGGTTTGGCGCTTATGTGCGCTTATAAGTTATGCCGAGTCGAATTCAGATATTGGGGAATGCAGACGAAACTAGAGAAATTCATTCATGATGTCGGTATGTTGAGTTTCGAACTAATTCAAATAATTTTATAATTAATTAAATTACATTCTTTAGTTATTTATTTCATTTATCGCATGTGCTATTACAAAATTATGAGGAAACTGAATGAAAACGGAATTGTCATTTTTACGCACACAAGTATTATATTTTAACGTATTTTATATCGTATTGTACTTTGTGGAATATTGAACAATGTCTATACTTTGAATTTTATCCGTTTTACATCTGTATTTCTACTATATGTCAAGTGGTCTATCTCAGAATCAAATGCAAAATTTTATCAAGTGTATAACCCTTTCACTACGACAGTATTTTCCGCAAAAGTTTGCTACCGAACGGACCAGAGCAGACACAACGATAAAATTTAAGATATTTCTGTTATTATCAATAAAAATATCTTGAAAAATAAAAAAATGCGCTTCGAATAAACTAAAAATTAAAATTATCAAGAGTTTAACTCAGTGATGAATTTTGAAGCAGAGACCGACGCAGAACATGTCGTCCATGGACGACATCCGTGCACATGCCACATCATGCGGATGTCGTCCATAGATCGTGGCACATGTTGTATATAGTAGTTCATCAAGTTGTGTTAAAGTAGAAGAGTTATTGAAGTTGAATATGAGTGGAAGCTTTTACTACATAAATGCTTTAAAAAATTAAATTGTGAAATCTATGGATAGTTATTAGTTCAATTTTACTTAGAAAGGGTATTGCTTTATTTTTAATCATTATTATCATTTTTTTTATCTTGTTATTGTTTTATTGTGACTAAAGTATTGAAGAAAAATAATCAAAAGAATAAGTTCATTGATTCGGCGGTTCTAAATTTTCAATACACAAGCCCTATTAAGGTATGCTTTTTAATTACATTTTTTACCTAAACGCTAAAATGAAAAGACCGATTCAAAAATCGGTTTTTATATTTGTGCCGGTTGGGTTCGGAAATAAAAAAAATCATTACGAAACTCATTTTGTGCATATATATGTTTATTACAATAATACGAACGGAATAGTTTCAAATATGTACTCAAATTCCTACACTAAGAGTGGAATATGTAAAAACTGAAAAGATGGGAATTTCTCAGAAATGCACATTTTAGATGAAAATCTGTGCATTTGTCGTCATTTTTCTTAGCATTTCTGTAACAAACTAATAAAGTTTAAAACATCTACAAATACTGGAAACGAACATCTGAAAATTTTAGTTATCAACAAATGTGAATAGCATTTGTTGATAACTAAAATATTAGCATCTTGCATTTCCGCAAAACTTAGAAAAAATACAGCAATTCTTTTTAATTTTCAACAACGCGACGGAACAACGTTAAGACGACGGATCAAAAACACATATTACGCTGTTTTATAGCAAATCTATGGATAATGCAAATATTATTACTTGTATTTGCAATATAAGATTATTCCTTCTTTTATCATCAGCTTTGCGCAAAACGATGCTCCGAGCGCACAGGCAGGCCTGGGCGTGGCAGGACGAGTGGCACAATCTGACGATGGACGACATCAGGGAGATCGAAAGGCAAACTCAGTTAGCTCTCAGAAATAAAATGAACAATAATTCAGAAGATACTGAAACCGCAGAAGACGCAGTTGATAAAAATGAAGGCGATGATAAAAAGTCAAACGCCGACAATGTTAGTATATCTTCTGCGAACAAAAACCGAAAATCTGTGGCTGTGAAAATGTCCGGTATAGCTAAACCTAAGCAAAAGGTCAGTCCGAGAGCATCCAAGAAGTCTACGACTAGTACTGATACTAATAATACTAATAAAAGTACTGATAGTGAAGATGATTTATTAAGGTAAGGAGTCCTTAAAAGCTTCTATTTTGCATATTGGTTTACCTAAAGTATTAGATCAATCTGAGAATTTATTGTCAAATATATTAAATGAAATGAAAGTTATGACTTTTAATTAAAAAAGAAACGTATCGGCAACAGTTAACTTTAAATAAGTAAATAATAAATTTTAAGAATGGTTAAAAAATATTCATATTATACAATTTATTACAAAAAAATGTGAATTTTAAAAGTTTTATATTCATTATATATATATATATATATATATATATATATATATATATATATTTATTTTATTCATTTAATTTTGCTTAACCAAAGTTTTACAAATCGTAGTACATTACTAGTAAAAATAGATATAGTCATTATCGGGTGCAGTTTCCGTACAGCAGGGTTGAAATTGAGTTTCCATACAGTTTTGAAATATTTAAAATCAAATAATATTAAAAAGCTATATGAGAAAACAATTCAGTGTAAAATATTGTACACATTATTTAACTTTGTTGAACAAAAAAGTTAATACCGAATTTGGTCCACTATAACGAGAAATATTTATTTGATTGCATATTAACTTTTATAATAATTTACTCCGTTTAAATATATGTTCATGAAGCAGTAGTTGTATTTAAAAATTATTTGTAGAATTATTATTAATATTTAATTTTTTAGTGATCAAGCTAGCAGGTCATCCATAGGCATCAATCAGAATCCAATAGATTGGCGATTGGTGCGAAGGGATTCTGATGAAAGTTGTACTGAAGATAGTGATGAAGACGATGACGAAGAATTTTTCGACTGTCAAGGTAAGCTAAATGCTTATTTGTGAAGTACATTTCATTAATTGTGCCTTGATTATGAAAGAAAATTCATTATTTATGTTTTTTTAGGTGAAATGGCTGTTGAAGCAACATCATTAGCAAAATGGAGTTCTTTAGAATTGCTGATGGAGGAAGATTTAGATGGATCGCCCTTGACTGGTGGGTCTAATGGTAATATTAATAGTTTATATCCTAAAAATAATAACTCTTTTATGAATATTTATTTTGTAATTGAAAACATTTTACAATTTTTGCAGATGATAGTATATTTAGTCCGTCATATCGAATGTCTGCGAAAGCTGGTAGAGTTCCAAGAGGAGGCGTTGGTGATAGTCCGGCGACTTCTGTGTCTTCTGCTGGTCCTTCTCCATCAAGAGTTGGACGAGACTTTGATGATAATAGTTGCCCCACTACAGTTCTTATATTAGTACTGCATGCTGGTAGTGTTCTAGGTAATTTTGAAGCAAAACTCAAGATATTTAATATATTAAAATCGTTATTTTTATAACGTAATTTAAAAATGCAACTGAGATTAATACATTTATGTTGATTTTTCTACTATACTAATTATTATATTTTAACAGCTATTTTATTTATCAACTATATGGTATTATAAATAAATTATAATTATTTATATATAGGTGATAAATAAATGTTTGATTACTTCGTATTATTCAATTATTCATATAATTGATTTATTTGTTAGATGCTCAAGTTGATCCGACATCCAAAAAATCTGATGTTTTAACATTTGTTGGAGCTTTAGAATGTGTGGTAAAACAGCATTATCCAGCTTTATTGGGGCGAATAGCAGTTAGACTCGTAGATTGTCAAAGTATTTGCGCTCATTCCATAGCCGTTCTGAACAGGTAAATTGAGAGTAACAAAAAATTTAATCAAGAATTACTTAGAACAAAAAGTTTGTGACCTCATTGATAGAACTTAGGTAACGAGATCGGAATGTTTATCCATTAATTATATATATATAAAACGGTTAGAATTTTGTAAAACATTATTTTGAATAGGTGGTATCTTGTTATAAATAATTAAAAAAAAGTATAATCTATTAATGACTAAATATATATGACATTTGATTAGTCAAAAAAATATTAATATCAACAATTATTATTGAAAAAAAAAAATTGGTTTTAAATAAATTGGAAATATATTCACAATATTAAATGCACAATTTGATTTGTTATATTTCTTTTTCTAGTTTAAGTCCATATAGTTTTGATACATCGCCTATATCCACTGGTGGGGCATCAGCATTTCAGCAGCAAAATGACAGAGAATGGTCTAACGCTGGTGCCACTCAGGATTCCATACCGATTGGAGCTATTCCATTGCTAGCAACAAATACTCAGGAGTACCATGATATTGTTCACAAAACAATAATTTCAACAAATAACGTATATAATGGTAATTTGATATTTTATTCATAATAAATTTGATGGTAATATATAACCCTTTGTTTTCGAGATATATAAGCAAGTGTTATTTTTTTTCTAGAATTTCTAAAATGTTCAGAAGGCAGAGGTTTTTGTGGTCAAGTATGTCTTATAGGAGATTCAGTAGGTTCAATACTTTGTTTTGATGCTTTGTGTAAAACATCCCAACGAAGAGACAGTGATTCCAGTATTATTCTAGATAACGCTGAAATTCCGGTTTGTATAGGTAAGATGAATTATGTTTATTACCGATTGTGTATTGGTATACTCGAATGAAGAATTCACGTAGTCTTAAATTTTATAGATGGCAATTTAGAAAATGAAATTGATGCTCAAAGATTACTTCAAGCACCGGCCGCCCGAAGACGATCTTCTTCTATAAGGTATCGATCGATCAGTTAACAATATTACAATATAAAAACTTATATATTTTTTATATTCAAACTTTTATCTTATGTAATATAAAATGATTGTTTCAGTGAGGTATCAAACGCTAGTGTTAGATTTGATTTCGATGTTTCCGACTTTTTTATGTTTGGAAGTCCATTAGCGTTAGTACTGGCTGCTAGGAGGATTTCTGATGATAAAAATGGTAAGAATACTACGACATAATTACAATAAAATTTTATTATATTTTTTATTTCTTAATCATAATTATTCAAATCATTATTTTCATATAGTCAAAACTTCCAATAAACCATTAACTAGTGGGGCGCATGGCATCGTGCCTTAAGACAAATTGCTGGAACTTCCCGTAGCAAATTTTTTTTTTTTAAAGATTAACATTTTTGAAAAAAAATTACTCTAAAAAATTAGATTTTTGAGAAACTATAAATTTTTGACAAAAATTTACTTTTTTTTGAAAAAAAGACTTTTTGAAGAAAAGTGTATTTCGAAATATTTTGGAAATTCTGAATTGTTTTTCAAAACAATCATACTTTAACTGCATAGAGACGAAATATCGAAGCGCGTAAGCGCCGCGCCGCCGTCTAACGGATGAGCATTGGTACGGAACCCATAGGAATGTAAACAAAATTTATACTTATTGTTAAAATCTCTATAAAATATCTGATAATTTGATGTGCATATGTCTAATGATCATTTTCGACCGCCAGATGGAATTTCTTTTTACTTTTTTTACTAGATCTCCGAAACTGCTAGCCCTGCCTTTATGAAAATGATCAGTTCTTTATCTGATCTTTAGTAAAATGTTTTTTGAATTATTCAAATCGGACGCTCCGTTCTCTTAAAAACTGAGTTACCGTTTTTGGCACTTTTTGCCCCATATCTTCGGAACGACTAGACCTGCCTTCGCTAAAAACTAATCAGCACGTCACCTTATCAATACGAATCGAATATTTTTTGAATTATTCAAATCGCTTCCTCCGTGTTCCCGAAATCGTAGATGAAAATTTGTATCCGAACACACATACACACACGCACACACACATACACACACACATACATACACACACACATACATCAGTTTTTTATAAGGTAAAAAAATATATAAACCAAAATATTCAACAACCTCTGAAACGTAAAGATATATAAAATTTTTCATTTTAGTTTTTTTTGCGATTTTTATAACTTGCCCTACGGGAAGTTAACAAATATTTTTAAATTTTCAGGTACAATACCTCGACCACAATGCACTCAAATCTACAATCTGTTCCATCTCACCGATCCTACAGCCGTCCGTTTAGAACCTTTATTAAGTGCGAGGTTTAAGCATTTACCTCCAGTTGGAGTAGCACGATATGCTAAATATCCCTTGGGAAATGGCCAACCTTATCATTTATGTGAGTACCAACATTTTTATTCAATATAAAATCTAAAAATAGTGGAAGTTTTTATGAAAATTAACTAATATAATCTAAAGTCACGATACAAAGCAGTAATAATAACAAAGCATATATGGCATATATTTTAAGATAAAAATTTATTAGGATAAATAAAATTAGGCTATATATAAATAAATAAATTATTAGCCTATATAATTTTAATAACATGTAATTTTAAGTATGTTTTATTTTCACAAATAGTGGAGTTAATACAAAGCAATCCGCAACTGTTTACGGACAATTTTGGTACAACCTCTTCGGGTCACAATCAATCGAGAAGGCTATCTGATGTATCAATACAAAGTTCAGTTAGTGGACTTATGGATAACATTCCTTTACAAACAATAAACGCACGTAAGTTCAAAATAAATTAAGTTATATTTTTAATGCAGTTTTGTATAATATGGCTTAGCATAGCTTCACAGATCTTATATTTTAAATTTATCTATGCAGTTTTTTTTAATCATTGGAAAAGGTACTTCCTCCTATACAATATGTTTTT